TTTTCAGAGAGAATTTACGCTGACAGAAGTTAAACAAGTCTTCTAAGGAGGGTCCCAAGAGGTCGATTACGAGAGTATTGTAGTCGCGTTCGGTGCCGTAGTGTCTCACAAAAGGGACACCGACGCCACCAGACAAAGCTTTGTAAACCCGAGCTTCATATTCAAGTTGAGGATGACGGGCTCTAACCGACTCTAACTTAATAGCGACCTCTTCGCCTGAAATTATATTGACGCCCAAATAAATTTCTCCGAATGAACCGGAGCCGATTTTGCGTTGAACTCGGTATTTACCGCCGATTCTGAGGTTACTAGGATAGGTTAGTAAAAGCCAACAAAGGAAAAAACAAGAGACTGAACATATTAGAATGCCAGTAGAGAAGAAGATATGAAAAAAACCAAAAATTACTACTTACTAGATGGAGTCAGGGATAGGAGCTGCAGCAGACATGTTGTTTGAGCTGGTGCCAATAGGGTTATTGTCTGCAGGAGAATGCAGGTTTTTGCAGTACTTTGACTAGCGAGCTGAGAAGCGGTGAGAAAAAGAACAAAGTGAATACAAGACTTTTTTCCTGGAGAATTTCAGGATACTAAGCAAATGAAGCGCAAATTAACGCTGGAGTTGGGGGGAAGGACAAGCAGGGAAGAGGGGGAGTGAGGTCAAGTGTTAGGTAAAAGACAAGTTGGGCGCGATAGGCGGGAGGATGGGAAGAAAAGGGTCCTATTGTGCTTTTACGTGTGCCAAAAGGTGAACAAAGAGACTGCAATAAGCTAGCAAACACGTATCGCAGGAACGTTATAAAAAGCTGCAAAGCAACAAGAGACTCAATGGCAGCTTTTGACCTAAAAAAGACCAGTTCTAAAGGGTGCAGAGAGGAGCGGAAAGGACTTACTAACGTGTGTGCAGGCGCCGCGGAATAAAGTAAGAAAGGAAACTATACCCGAGAAACTGGCCTATTGAGTGGTTTACCCTTAACCCTACTACACACTTGTGCGGCCACGCTTGGACCCCTCTTTGGCGTGACAGGCCGCGTCGTCCAAAAGGAGCCAGAGGCCTCAGGGACTGCGAGGATCGGCGCGCATGAGCTATGAATGATCGGTGGGGATCGAAGCGATAGATTCCGAGCTGGTAGGGTGCGCGAACAAGCAAGATTAACAAGGGGGCGAGGGCTGCAAAGGCTTGTTCATGCTACAAGGAGTCAAACTAGAAATACACACATATTATTTTACTATAGCAAAGTGTAGGGCATAATGCTAGGGATAGACTAGTTAATGCACCGTGGGCTAGCAGAACTAAAGGTCAGCTGGCTAGTTAGCTTCTTTTTGTTGCTCATCAGACTTAGTCGTCTCAGCAGGGGCACCGGCTGCGGCAGTGGCCGCAGTGGGTGCAGCATCAGAATCAGGAGCAGCTGCAGTAGCAGAGGCAGCAGTTGCAGCAGGTGTAGCCGGCTCTGATTTCTTTGGCTTCCACTCTTGAATCTTCTTCCAGAAGCTTGAGCCTTCTCCGTCGCTCTTTTTAACCCCTAGTCTGCTAAGAAGCTTGGTCAAAAAACTAACCTTTTTGGTTTGTTCAGGTGCAGCTTGTTCTTCAACGGCAGTAGTAGTAAGTTCTTGTTGAGACTGTTCATAGTTAGCATCGATGCCTAAGAATGCAGCTGAATGTCTTGCTTACCATTATTGATTCTTGTAAGATTGGAGATGTTGTCACTTTTTAAAGAAAAGGATAAAAGTTTTTCCTAGTGTTTCCCAGTGCACTAAATAAATAACAGCGTTTCCCTTTTGCCTCGCTATATGCTATTTTTGACATAATGCTACTGCCAAACTTTATTTACATGTCAAACCTTATACGTTGCACTTATCTACCACATTGCATCTAGCCGTTTCGCGATATACCCTGAAAATTTCCCTGTAATATGCCTGTTATCATTCTGTCTTTTATATTATTGCTACGCCATATTTGTTGAACTCTTTCAGATCGCTTACATGTCCGTCTCACGTCACTCACAGTCTCAATGAAAACTTTAAGCGATCTTCCTAGGCTTATCCCGACCATATACCTCCTTGACAGACCGAGTGCAGCTGCCCGTAACCCGCCTGTACCGGACCAGTCGAACACTTCTGATGTCGTAGGCAAAAATTACTTGTTGTCAGACTTGTCTTTACTATTTTCGACCGTATCGCAATCGGTCCGATCCTTGGGCTCACAACGGCTTCTCACTAGTCCGCCCCCTTACTCTACCAAGCAGTCCAGCACGCATTCGATTCATAATGGGCTCGCTTCTGGGGAAATTCCACTAGCAGCGCAAACTGAGTTGCCCAATTCACCACTTGCATTGTCCGCCGATGCTCCAACGACTCTCTCGTCCGCTTCCGTCTCTGATCGATCGTCATGGGCGTCGTCCGCTGCTTTTGAACAGAACAACCCACGCTTTCACGTACATCCGTCGGTGTTCTTCCCGCTGCCGGACGTCTATGGAGCAGAAGATCCAATATTTCTTCCAGAAGAGCGCTGTTTGAGCAAATACAAGTATATATACGCAGCAAGGTCCAAACAGCCAATGCAGCGATCGGTTGCGAAGAAGGGATCTATATGGCTCACAACTCAACGCCTTATTTTTGTTCCAACGTGTATGAACACCACTGGATGGTCTGTTCTTCTGAGTACTGTACTATCTCTTAACTTGGCTCAGAACACTGTCGTAATGACCTGCACTGACTCTCTCTACGTCACCGCGTTCATCGACTCAGGCACTACACGTCTTCAATTCGCACGCCGCTGCTCTAATATGAAGTTGAGCTTCTCTATATCGATGCATTTGCCTTTTGAGCACGATCATATCACCGCACCGACTCTGCCCACGTACGAACAGTCCGACGCTGCGCTCCAGCGGTACTTAGCATTACGCGAGTCTCGCCCGCCCCCAAACGAAACTCTCGAGCTCACTGTCTTAGAAAGACTCGTCTTCCTCGACTATGGCGCGGACGGTATTGTTGTTTCCAATATTCCGCCCGCAGCTCAGCGAATCTATGATGCCCACTACTACCAATATTCTGTTCTTCCGGGCCTTTCATCAGAAGACTTAGGCTTAACAGAACAGGGAATAGACTCAATAAACTCGCACTCCGCAAGCTCAACAGATATCTCTACCAGTTCCTCCAGTGATGTTTCTGTCTAGAGGTTTACAAGTTGTGCTACCTGCATATTACAATGCAATTTTAGTTTTATTGGCGCGTCCATGTCTTGATAAGAAAGCAGCTTATCAATGTTGTAAAGCTCAATTTTGCGCTTCGGCCTAGGCACTAAGCGTCTTTATTTGACCTTCGAAAGCTGAATGGAAAGGTGCGTATAGATCTGTTTATTCTGCCTATATCGAAGGGCTCGTTCTTGGTAATGTTGTTATTGTTTCCAAGTTGAACGATCTGTTCTTTTGGTTGTAATGGACTCTTTGCGTGCTTTGTGATAGCATCCTTAGAGTCGTTATAATCAGCATTGCCAGCAACGCTAGAAATAGCGTTTGGCGAATTTAGTACCTTGCAATTTGTGGGAACCTGTTTAAGCAGGTTAGCATTGCTAACTGTAGGGCCAGGCATATCCTTGGCTTCCTGAATGTATGGGTGCTGCAGTGCTTGCTGAGCTGTTAGCCGCACATGCGGGTTCCAGCACAATAATGCTGCACAGAAGCTGGGGAAGTTTGGCGTTTGTGAAGGGGCCGGGATCAGCGATTCTAGCCGAATTCCTGGCGTCACGGGAAAATTGATTCCGATTTTGGACGCTAGCACTGACGCTTGAGCCCAGGAACCACCGGTTGTAGGTGATTTCATTTTCTCAGGGTCTGGACAGCCTAGCAAGCGAAATACTTTAAGTAGCTGGTCTAGCATGTTAGCACCGGGGACAAGAGGCCGCAATGTTGCAAGTTCCATTGCGACAGCACCTAGAGCCCACATGTCCGACGGCGCAGAATAGTAGGGACATTGAAGCAGCATTTCAGGGGCTCTATACCACCTGGTGGATACATAGTTAGTGTAAGGAGGAGAGGAGCAGAGTTGGCGAGAGAGGCCAAAATCAGCAATCTTCACAGAGTATGAAAGAGCATTTTCGCCTCGGGAAGACACTAGAATATTTTCGGGTTTGATGTCACGATGGAACCAGCCACTGGAATGAATATGAACTAGACCCGCTAGAATTTGAGATATAAGCTGTCTTACAGAGGCAGGATCCAGATAGACTCCCTGTCGCGCTTGCATAAGCTGGTACAGATTAGATGGCATATACTCCATTGAAATATGAACCAGACGAGTAGATGCATCATACACGACTTCGTACACTTGCACTATAAAGGGATTGCTATCTAAATGCTTCAAGGCGTTGACCTCTCTTAGTCGCGCACCGTCAGAAGCAGAAGAGAATGCCTTCTTGATTGATTTGACAGCTACAATGCTCAGGTCCCGTTTGTTCTCGGCAAGGTACACTGCACCAAATGACCCATCCCCTACTTCTTCAAGGATATTGTATCTATTAGATACGTGATCTGTGACTATGGAAAAGTGCATGATACGCCTATCTTCTGGTTAAAAGATGGATTGTATATGCACAAGAATAAAGTGTATGCGTTTGACTGCTAAACTCTAATTCAGAGTTCGCAATAACGTTTATCTAGGGGCTACGTATACCACCAGCACCAGCATCTGTCTGAGGTACATAAACAATAGCTGATATCAAAGGAGCCCTATGATACGTAATAGCTATTTCAATATTGGGTAGGATGCGAGACAATGTAGGAAATACGGGGAATATGGCTAGCGATAAGGTTAGATACCGCTCGATGGTATTGTTTAATTTCTCCATTAGGTATTCCCAAGTAAGGTGGATAATATGTACAATAGCAATTCATTTTATATGATATATATGAGCATATAGATCGTATTAGCAGTTCGAAACAGCAATTTAGAATTACTTATTCAAAGTACTTATAGATAAGATCAAAAAAAGAGCAGCAAAAAAACGACCCCGGTGAGGATCGAACTCACGATCTTAAGATGACAGTTAGAATACTAACAGTCTTACGCCTTAGCCAGCTTGGCCACGGAGTCTCCTAGTTGGACTAACAACAGAGTAGCAAACATCTGAGAATAGCATCTTGATTTAAAGTAAATAGATTAAAATATTACAAAGATGTCACAAACGTAATCAACTGTAAACTACTTAAACATCTAAAGCCAACAATTCGATGATCATTGTATTAGACTGACATGGGCCAATCAGAAACGTAGCACTGGTACACTCGTACTGGAGTATATACGGATCTTTCGATCGGCAGCCGATCGAAAGATGGTCTTCGTCAATTGAGGCAAAGGAATTGCCGAAAAATTGAGTGATTTTTTATGAACCTTCAACTATGCATAGAGAAGGCAATTAAACTTCGTTATAAGAGGAGTACAAGAGATCTCGGCAAGGATCGCACTCTAAACCGGAGGACAGATCAAGGTAACACCAGACTACAGATTGGACCAGGAAGACTCTATGAGCCTGGGATATGCTAGAGGAGCACTACTGCGACATGAAAATCGAACGTTCAATTCGTGTATACCCGGCAATAAGAATTAGAAAAGTAATAGGTGAGAACAACACTATTTAGGTCTAGAACCCAAACAGCCATAAAGTTTGCAAAATAAAAGCTGCGTAATAGCTCTCGAGCGGATCGCAAGAGTATGCACATCTGCATATTCTAGTGCAACTCGATTTAAAAACGCCCTACGTTTCAGAAGCAAGTGACTGTAAACTCCATAAACTAAGTGGACCGTGGACATATGTTTGAATAGATCGATCGGTTGAGGTTTCGGCAGATTTACTGCTCATCCCGTTACTGAATCAGTAAAAATTCACACTAGACATAGCGCGAACGCTAACTTTACTTTTAATTAAACCAATTACATTGCTTTAATTACGTCTTTTCCCCAAATCCTATGCTTATTGTGTAAGGCATGAGTGCCCGAACAGCCGGCATTTTACGTTGAGAACTTTGATTTAGAGTTCATTTTTCGTTTCGGTTGCTGACTTCTTCAACCTCCTGTCAAAGTCTCGGAGGCTATTACGCATGCAGTAGAGAACTTTGAATAGGGGCGGCAATATTTCTCTCAGAGGAATTCTTGACTCATTGATTCAGAACCTTTTCCAAGAGATCTCAACAGCCGCCACAAGCACTAAGTCATCTCAGAACTCTCAGTAGCTTTTCCGTCGCTCACTTCACGCCCCTAAATTTGTGGTCGACTTCTGCTCATTAGCATTAGACCTTAAGATTGACGAGACCTTCATACATCTCGAAATTGAACTTTAGCCATCGATTGCTCATGCTGATCTGTGTCAACGCCACACTCAAACACTCGATTTAGCAATTCGGGACGATCGATCCACCTGCGACCCAACCGCTTGCATCTAGGCGGGGGTTTTCCAGATCGATCCAAAAGCGATTCTGCATAGTTCCGCATACTGTGCGATCGATCCTCTTTCCGGGATTCTCCCCCCTTTAGTTCTTCCCTCAGGACTTTCCCACATAATCCGCAATCCTTTTCCGTAAGGCTGACTGTCGCTACCCAGTAAGAGTCAAGTACTATATATTTACCAAGCTTTTGTGCAACTCTATTATTCCTTTCCAGCCAATTAAAGCTTTGCATATATCGGACATTTGTAGCTAAAAGTAGAGTTTAGATTTACCGGTTGAAATAATTTCAGCTTTGCCGACCAATAGAAAACTTATAGTGTAATGCTTCTCAGAACTATAATCATATTTCGACTCCTAGTACTCCTACCCTAATCTATTAATATAAACTCTTCCAAGCAACCAAACTCTGTACCAGCTTTACCCTATTTGCCTTACCTATTTTCCGGCCTACTCTAACCAACCAAACTTGCAGTTAACTTGACCTTGCATCCGCACTTCACTTCCTGTTCTAGATTGGCTCATTTACGCTCTATACTCTGCGCGAGCACGCATATTACTGAATACAGCTATATACCCTCGCATACTTACCTCGTGCCGCGCGAATAACCCCTTTCGACTGTCCCTTTGAGTTGACTACTGTCCGATAGAACCACTCGCCGTCGCCCTCCTCTGCATTTTTGGCGCTGTTTTGCTCCACTTTTGAGGCACATTTATCGACGCCTACGCACTTCAATCGATTTTATTTATCTCTATCTATTGTTTCAAATAGTCACTTTATTCTTTTTTGACTGGTCACCCGACTCCAGTCTCGTTGTCGGCGCTCCTGTATCACTTAACGCACCTGTTGCATATTTCGCCGTCTCTGTCTTTCATCTCCACAGACTTTGAATAGCACCTGCAAATCTTGATCGCTATTCACTGATATCGTTCGAAAGGATCACGTAAACTAGACGCACCCTTTTATTTGTCACATACCCTCATTAGAGGCTTTACCGGCATTACTGTGCAACACACGAGCACTCACCGCTCCACGTCTCGATTTAGAGTCTTTCTAACGAATTCCCCGCTTTCGATCGAACCCTAGAAAACTTCGCTTTTTCTTTTCTTTTTAAGTTACCAGCTTATCTGCTTTATTTCTTCGAATGATGTCTATCTCCGTGGGCCGCAACAACTCCGCCGGCGGAAAAGCGTCCTCAAGAGCTTCTCCTCAATCTCTCGGAACGCTATCTACTGCAACTACATTGTCAGACCCGGAATCAGTACTCATAGATGATCTCACTTACACTCCGAGCTCCATAGTGGGTTCCCCTTCCGGACTTCCCTTTTCACCATTTGGCGAATTCATTCAACGTCCTGACCATAGGAAGACCACTTCGCCACGTAACACTACCAGCGTTCACAATGTTACCGGCTCAAATAACTCACTTAATGATAATAATAATCAGCGTTCTGATACCAAACAGCAACAGCAAAGCCATGGGTCTCCTAATGTCTCCTCGCCTAACAGGAAACGTCCTGCGCCGTTTTCTCCGTCAGCACCCGCAGATGCAAATCTATCTGAAGTCGATCTTCGAGCTTCCAGCAGCTTTTTCGGCGCTCTTTCTAATATTCCAGAATACGACATAAACGTCCCCCCGGCGTCACAAAACTCGTCTACTCTTCCAGAGCTCTCTCAATTGTGTGATTCGAAACAATCTAAAGTTTCACCACTTAGCAACTTTAATGATATCGAAATGGCTGACTCTGGTAACACAGGTTTTGAATTTACGCTTGACCCGTTTGCTGTCGATGCTCCCGATCCCTCTGGGTTGTCTGCCTCTATAACTCGAAACTCTTCGGTGTTTCTTCCGTCCTCCGCCAATTCGCCGATCTCAGCTGCTCCGCATTCCTTTTCTTCTGTCGCACCAATCTCTGAATCCGTTAATAACTTTTTTTCTCCTTCTTCCTCACTGCAAAATTCAGCGGTCTCTACTCCTTTCGCCAGTGCAGACCTAAACGATTCGATATATTTCGATGTTCCACGAGAATCTGTTCTTTCTTCTCAAATTCATGGCATTCAACGAGGAAGAAGCTCCAGTGTGGCCCAGTCGCCTCATCAAATAGCAGGATCATTTTCTGGTTCAGCTTTTGACTCTCAAGCTACTACTCCTCAAGTCATGTCGCCTGATCAGTCTTTTTACTCTGCTTTCAAACAAAGCCAAGGAAATTTCATGTTTAACGATATCTCAAATGATGGCTCCATGTTACAGCCGAAGAATTCTTATCCGTCTATTGGTGCTACTTCGGTTTCTTTTGATTACAATGACCCTTCAGCTTTCAGCCGCAAAAACTCTGCTGTTTCGATATCTAGTGAGCCTGTTGTTCAACATATTGATCCAGCTCAAATATCTTATCAAAATATAACACATGAGTTCTCCAGCCGGCCTAGTAAGGAGAAAAAACAGAGACTATCTGGCATGTTTAATACAAGTTACGATGATAGAAATGATTTTATTTTATCGGATCAGCTAGCAGCTGATTTTGGTTCTTCTCTACCTGCTGGATTTGGCAGACCTGGATTTGGTATGTCAGCCCAAAAGAAGGAAATAAAGGATGATGATGTTACTGTTAGTCAAGATTTGACTTCTGCTTTTGACCAGAATGACTCGTTCTTAATTCGCACTGGCTCCATTTCTTCTAAACCCGGACTTCAACATCGTCACTCTACTGCATCTGGGATTGGATCTAGCGTGTCACTTTCAAGATCTGGCAGCAAAAGCATGGCTGCATTAGCACGGACCGTATCGTACGGCGAGCCGTCAGCAAACGCTCCGGAGCGACCCAGCGGTCTAAGTCGACAAGGCCAAGCTGCTGTGAGGAAACCAAAGACCGCCAGAACATCTTCTTCGGTTAGTCTTTCTTCTACCACATTAGAAAATCATGGTAGCCGACGGCAATCTATGTCTGAACCGAAAGCTGCTGATGGTAGAGGCTCTACCAAGAGTGCAAGTGCATCTACTGCCAATATGGATGGTTCTAAGACAAGCTCCGGAGGTAGCGATAGTGCTTCCAGTGCACAATTGAAGGATTCTAATGGCACTCCGATTGCTTGTACCAATTGTCGCACCAAGACCACACCGTTATGGCGAAGGAACGCTGAAGGCGAACCCTTATGTAACGCCTGTGGATTGTTCTTAAAGCTACATGGCGTTGTACGACCTTTGTCCTTAAAGACAGATGTAATCAAGAAGCGCAATCGTGCTAATGGTAATTCTGGTGCGAGTGGTTCTGGCAACAGTCGTTCAGGAAGGAAAACGGGTGGATCAAATTCAAGAAAGAGTTCATCTGCTGGCCTTTCGCCGAATGGATCTGATGGTAAACCACAGTCTGTCTCTTCTGAAAGCCCACCATGGCTTATTAGCCAAGATGGTAGCAGTGCCAACACTACACCTCCTGACCTCATTGGGCCCAGTCCTGGATTTGGTGGCTCTATGTCTAGTCCGGGTGGAAGTACAATTCCTATTATCCCTAAACCACAAAACATTTCAGGAGTTGTCTCTGCACATAACAACATGATGGTTGGATCACAGCCCAATGGTCCTAGACCGTATAGTCAAGGGATCCATACCGGTGGGTCACAGCTTTCTCCTGGAAACAGCCAGTTACGCACAG